ATCAGAGGGGCCACTGACCTAAATGGCCCCTCCCACCCCGCCCCATGGTGGTGACCATATGGGCCTGGGGGTCTCCCCAGTCCTGGCCACTCTTTGCCCAGGTGGAGAGGGAGAAAGCAGGGGCCCAGCCCACACAGTCCTGAGTCAGGCTGAGAGCAGCGGTCAGCCCATGACCCTCCCGGGCTCTGATCCAAAAGAAGCTTTCAGGAGCAGGTGGCGGTTAGCAAAGAGTTTGCCAAAAGACAGTGGGACACAGGAGGGCAGGTTGGAGGCCAAAGCCCAAGGAGGCAAGGCAGTCTGCACCAGAGCAGAATGCAGCACAGAGCGGAGCCAGGTTCTGGGGTCCCAGGGGTCCCAGGCTATGCTGTGTGGACTCTGGAACATTCCACATGTCTCTCAGCCACTAGCAGAGCCTGCTTCTTAGCACCCAAGGGGGTTTTTCATCTTGGGACTTGAAGACGCAAAAGGACTGGTTTGGAATAACTTAATTTCATGAACAAAGCAAATACCGTTCACTACACAGTACAGATGTGTATGTATTTCTATACTACATACTGATGTATATCCAACAGATAACAGAGCCCTCCTTACATTAGTTTTCAATCCTTCTTCACAAGGTTATTGATTGAAACTCCAAGCCAAGCTTATGTTTAAGGGGAAGGCAGGTTCCTCTGTGGTCCTGTCCCTTTCCGACTTCACTCTGAAATATGCTTTCTCCCATGCAACACGCTGACCACACTGGGCCAATAGGTGAACTTCCTTCCCTCAGAGTGGATGCAGCCGTTACAAACACAATCTCAATCTCTCCTGCAGCTGCTTCAAGTTCAATCTTTAAAGTACAGATATTTCTTAAGTGAATTTTTATAAATCTGACATTATAGTGTAGTGGTTAAGTGGGAGGGGGCAAGGTTCTAAAATCAGACTATGAGGGTTCAAATTCCAGTTTTACAACATTAAAATTGTAGGCATATAAATATAAATATGTCTGTAAGTGGTATGTGGAGGGTCTTGGGTAAGTTACATACCTTCACTGCGTCTCCATTTTCCTTACCTGCGACAGAGGGTAACAGTCCCTACAACAAGGCAGCTATAACAAGGCTCATTTAATTAAATGAGATGATGCATATACAGCACTTAGCGTAGTGCAGGGAATGTAAATAGCACACAATAATTGTTAGCTATTGTTAGTGAAATTAGTACTGAACACATCCATGAAAACGCAAGAGTTCTGGAAGGATTGACCCTGTAAAATGTCATCCTAAAAGAATTGGGCAGCAGCCCTCCACCTGGGCCTTTGACTCTGTCTTTCCCTCCTCGGGTCCATACTCTACAGTGTCGACAATGTTTGCTTCCCAAGAAACAAATCGGATCACAGTGCCCCCAGGTTAAAGCCAGCAAGGGTCCCCTTTGACTCAGGATAGAAGCCACATTGCTGGGCTTCATTTGCATGGCCTCTCACAGTAGGGACCCCCGCTCCCTTCCCCCACCACTGCGTGCACTTCGTGCTTGCCTTCCTGTGCAGGAATGCCAACCTCTCCTGGCCCTGGGGGGTGAGCGCTCCAGTGTCACCTCCTCTATGAAGTGCTAGTTCCCAGGCATTCGCTTCTTAGCACTTGCTGAGAGCAATAGCCTGCCAGTTAAATCTGTAAGCTGGGGAACTAAACTGACCAGCTTTAAATTTTTGTTTCTCCCTGTGACCTGGGGCAAGTTTCTTCACCTGTCCTTGCCTCGGTATTTTTATCCGTAAAATGGGAAAAATATTATTGAATTCATAAAGTTAATGAAAATTAAATGAGCTGACATATGGAAAGCATGTTAGTACATAGAAACAACAGTCCCCAGCACACAGTAAGTGCTCAATACATATTAGCTGTACTAGTAACAATTATCTTTATCATCATTATCGTTAGTATTATTTCACCAGAATGTAAGCTCTTTAAATATAGAGACTGTCGATTTTGTTCACTGCTTGGCGCATTGAAGGTGCTCAGTGTACAGCTGTTGAATGACACACAGCTGCCTGCATGTGGTTAATTGTTTACACATCTCCCTCAACAAACGGTGAGCACCTCGGTTCTGTCTAATTAATCCTGTATCCCTGAGGTCTGCTCAATGGGCACAAAACAGATGCTCAATAAACCTCTGCTGAATGAATAATACACGAATGAACCTCTGAGGTTGCATGCACATTTTATGCTCTGGTAAAACAGTAATTCAGATCTAAGTTTATCAAAAATTCATGCCCTTTGTCTGATGGTAACTCGTCTGCACTGGGTATATAATGGTTGCTGGAAAATCTTAAAAAGCAAGTGGTGCATTTGGGGACTTTATCTGGGGACTGTCTCCAGAGCAGGAGAAAGTTCCTCCAGGAGCTCCTGCCCCTGTTCTTTCCACTCCCCCAGTGCCCCTCGCTGCCCCTTGCCCCTTCCTGAGTCCACTACAGCCAGGGAGAACTGTGGCTCATAAGGGGCACAGCAAGGCTGGCTGGAGAAAGGCTGGACATAGCTCTGTCCTAACCCAGGAAGTCGTCTCCCCGGGTAGAAGCCTCCTCTCCCCACTTGTGGTTCAGGTCCCTCACCTTCCCCGCCTCACAGGAAACCTTCTCCCTCTTCCTGAAGGAAGTAAAAACATTTCCCCGCAATATATAAGCCTCTCTGCTTCAGTTCCTCCATCTAAAGTGAAAAATAAAATCAAGAGTGGGGATATGGAGAATAATGTGAATAAATGTAGTCTGTAGTCTACTAAGTTATTACTCAGTACTAAAAGATCACTGTTGAATGAGCCTCTCGGTAACCAAAGCCACTTATTCCAAGTGCAGGCAGATTTCTGATCTGAAATGCCCACTGTGTTTGCCATCATGGGCAAATGGAGGCAGGGTGAGTTACAGCTCAATGTTTGACATAACTTTCATCCCAATTGCCCGGCCAGGTCTGCTTACATCTGATAGCTCATTCTATCCTCACGACAATGCAGGGAGACAAGGGAGGTTTAGTATCTCCATTGTATGGGCATGGAATGTAGAGACTGAGAGATCGAGAGAGTTGTCCTCGACTAACAATAAGTTTGGAAAACACATGATTTCTTTGTGTCATCACGAGAACATCACTCTCTGCTGTAGCTCATGCATAAATCTTTTGGGTCCAGAAGCGTCCTCTCTACCACAGCCATGTCCATCATCTGTGCTCTCTCCCCACCCACTGCCCAGCCCCGCACCTGTACTGTGAGGCTGCAGCTCCCTCAGGGGCTGTCTGGCATTCCCAAGCCTTGGCTTGGTGGGGGCTGGGGTGTTTAGTTCCCTGGCTTTTTGGTCAAAGACATTCCAGGAAGTAAGAGCTGCCTTTAAACAGCTTCCAGTAGCCCCCGCTGAGCACTCAGAGTGGGAGTGAGTGAAGTCCCAGCTCTGCCATTAACCTGCTGTGTTACCCCGAACAGGCCTCCCTACCGCCCTCCTCTGTAAAGCAGGGAACTTCAAGAATCTGATTGTGCTGTGAATGGTCCCCCCCGAAGACACATGCATGAAAGATCATGGGTGTCATTTCAACAGGGCCACAGGCTTCCATCCACATGAGCCCATCTGTGTACCCTGTAGGTCCACTGACTCTGAGTAAGAACCTGTGGGCCAGGTGAGCTCTGACACGAAAGTGGGGAGCCCCCAGTGCACATTTTTAAAGAACAACTTCAGTAGTCTTATTTTCTCACTATGAAATATTAAAAAAAGAAAATACAGATTTTTAAAAAAAAAAGAAAGTTACCATAAACCCACTACCAGAAAAACCACTATTAATATTTTAGTAAATGTCCCTCAGTCTGTCTGTCTCACTCTCGACATATATACATAAATCCACTCATATCAGGAATGTTTTCTCATGTTGTTTAAACATTATTTGAAAACATAATGTCTACATAGTAATTGATTGCATGGTAGTTCTATAATGTATTATTAGCCATTCCTTAATTGTTAAACATTTAGGTTGTTTTCCTTATTATTAATTATTATTATTATTATTATTATTATTATTGTTATTATCTGTGCAAGCATGCCTGATTATTTTCTTGGGTTAAAAGTGGAATTGCCAGCTTTACTCAGAAAGAGTACCTATGACAATTAATACCTATGACAATTTGTCCCTTGCCCCCACCCCCAAAACTTGTACCCATTTGCACTCTCAGTAGATGGAGGGGCAGGAGGGTGGTGAGGGGGACTTAAATCTGCTTCCTGAACCAGCAGCCCCAGAATACTGACACCCACTGGGATCTCTGTTTGCTAAAAGTTAACAGCCATCTCAGGCCACAGCAGCCGTGTCTATTTTCAGGACTGGCCTAGGCATGTTTGAAATGGGTATGATTTGTCTTGGGTCACTTGATCTGACAGCACCACTGACTCAGCCGCCACACCCCTCCCCTCCCAGGTTCAGCAGCGGCTGCCTCACCCTCCACTCCCCAGAATCTGTCCGCCCTTTGTCACATCCCATCAGCAGGCTCTAGACTTTGCCTCATGAATCTGTAACATGCATCTATGTGAACGGGTTCAGGGAAGCAGGCTGAATCCTGAGTAGAATTGTCCTGAATCCAGCCCAGGTGGTGGCAGGAACAGCAGACCCAGGGGGCGGGAGGCTGTCACGGGCAGCGGGTGATGGTCCAGAGGCAGATGGGCAGTGGTAGGCCATCTCAGTGCCCAGTTGCATGGGCAGCCTGCTCCGTGTCTTGCAGGGTTGGTTGTTCAGAATGTTGTTCAAAGAGAAGAGCGGGACCTCGCTGAAAAGATGAATCCATTTCTTGTGAGAATTGGCTACATCAAGTGTGTTGCCCAGAATGCTGGGCAGAGTTTCAGCCATTTGCTTGGCAAACTGTGCTCTTCTCTGTGCCTTAAATCTGCATATTGGTGATGGGGTACAGGGAGGGGGAGACCACAGGTATGGCCGTGCCCCAGCCCGAGCTCGCGCGCTGGTGGCACACATGGCCTGCCCCACTGCTGACCGCCCTCTTTCTTGGCCCTGCAGTCTGATGGCTCCATCCTGGCAATCGCCCTGCTGATCCTGTTCTTGCTCCTGGCCCTGGCTCTGCTCTGGTGGTTCTGGCCCCTCTGCTGCACCGTGGTAAGTGCCCCCAGCTCCTCCTCCTCGCCTCGGGCCTCTGGCTGCTCAAAGCAAACCTGTGACACAAGGCTAACAGGACCACGAGGAGGAAGAGAGCAACAAAAAACTGTGCAAAGATTGAGGACAGATCTTGCATTTTTTATACAATTTATACAAAATTGGCAAAAACTAACATGATCAATGGAAGCACAAGTCATTAGTGAGATTGCCAATGGGCACACCCTTTGAGTGGGACAGCTGGGGAGGTGCTTAGGAAGGATCCACAGAATATTGTAAATGATGAGTGTTATTTGACATGTAAAAAATACACAAGCGTGGGTATGTATGGTGTGCATGCACACACACACACAGTTGTTGAGGTGCACCAGTTGATACTCTTCCAAGACCACCCTGGTCTTAGCAACTAGTCTGCTCATCTGGGAGAGTGCCTTGGGCCTCTTTATTTTTAATAATAAAGAGTGGCACCTACCTTTATTTCATTACTTTTAGCAACATTTATAGGATGCACCTACTGTGTGCCCAGCACTGATCTAAGCACTTGGGCTACAAGATCAATAAGAACCTGCCTTCTAGCATTATTCACAATAGCCAAGACTTGGAAGCAACCTAGGTGCCCATCACGGGACGAATGGATAAAGAAGATGTGGTATATATACACAATGGAATACTACTCAGCCATAAGAAACCATGAAATCCAGCCATTTGTGACAACATGGATGGACCTTGAGGGTATTATGCTAAGCAAAACAAGTCAGAGGGAGAACGTCAAATTCCATATGATCTCACTCATAAGTAGAAGATAAAAACAACAGCAAACATACACATAGAGACAGAGATTGGATTGGTGGTTACCAGAGGGGAAGGGGGTAGGGGAGAGGGCGAAAGGGATGATTAGGCACATGTGTGGAGATGGATTGTAATTAGTCTTTGGGTGGTGAACATGATGTAACCTATGCAGAAATAGAAATATAATAATGTACACTTGAAATTTATATAATGTCATGAACCAATGTTACTGCAATAAAAAAATAATAACAAAAATAAAAAAGAATCTGCCTTCTCCCCATCATCACCTGGAGCCACCACATAGCCCCGGCCAGTGTCTCCCTAGAGAGCTTACGGCCTGGGATAACCTGCCATCGCCTGCTGTGCCCACATGGTACGTGCATGGTTATCGACTTCTATTCCCTGGCCCTGGACTAGGAAAAGCCCAAACAAAGTAATATCCGAGAGAAGAAAAAACACTAGCTCTCACATGTCTAGTTCTAGCACGTGCCCTGCCTTTGTGCAGAATCAAAAGGTGCTCTGTAACGCCCTGGGGAGTTTGAAGTGAGTGCCGCTCTGCTGCCATGGCGTCTTCCCTTCCCTGTGTCTTAGTTCTTCCGTGGAGGGTCCCACAGGGGGAAACAGACAGTGAGCCTTTCCAGGCAAGAGCTTGTCTTCATTTTATCTCTATAACTCCCATATTTAGCACACAGTGCAAGGGGACTCACATCTGTGTGTAGAACTGAGCTGAACAAAAACTGAAGACTCATAGAGCACTGGACTCGAAAAGGAGGGGGAAATGGCTTTGGTAAATGAAGGAGGTGAGAAACTCGGCCAGGATGTGGATCCATGCGGCAGACACTTCTGGAAAGAAAGAGGCTCTCACACCATCAAAAGCCTCTGGGCGTTCAGGGAAAGAGAGGACTTGCAGCAGACAAGAATGTGTGTGTGCGGGGAGGGACCCAGGACAGGTGCAATCTCAGGCCAGTTAGTGCAATCCAGACTGGACAGATGTCGCTAAGATTTTAAACAGATTCTTACCACGGTAGCCCCAAGAGCTAAATGTTGTTTTAAATACTAAAGGCTGCACAGCCATTTTATTCTGAGGGTAAAAACACCCCATGAGTCAGCCAGAGTGCTGTCTATGGTGATTCAAAAATGAGCATATTTTCAAGTCTGGAATTTGGGGGGGATGAACCTTGCAGTGGGCTCTTAAAGAAGGAGGTCGCCAGGGTGGTGGTGGTGGCAGCAGGCAGCGAACACCAGGGCTTCTACTGTAGTAGGCATCACCCTTGTTCACCCAGTCCCTTTGATTATTAAAAACAGTTACCTCTAGGTAGGGACAGCTAGGAACAATTGAACAGCCAAGCAGTGTTCCACCACTCACTAGCTGTGTGATCTCGGGCAAGTTACTTAACCTCTCTGTGCCCCAGTTTCCTCATTTGTATAATGAGGACAATAAGAGCACTGACCTCAGAGATAGATGGTGAAGATTAAAGGAGTTTATATATATACTTCTTAGAACAGTACCTTGCATATAGTAAGTGCTGTGTAGTATCATTATTAATAATAAAAAGTATTTACTATAATAGGAATATATTACTGTCCTATATGGCATTAAATTTATATTGGTGGGAAATGTCTCATTTTTTTCCAGTTTTACTGAGATAAAATGACATATAACATTGTATAAATTTAAGGTGTACGACATAATGATTTGTTACATGTGTAATATTGCAAAGTATTGACCACGATAAGTTTAGTTAATATCCATCACCTTATGTAATTACAAATTTGTTTTCCTTGTGATGAGAGCTTTTAAGATTTACTCTCTTAGCAGCTACACAATACAGTATTGTTAATATAGTCATCATGTTGTACATTACAGCCTCAGAATTAATCTTATAACTGGAAGTTTGTACCTTTTGATCACCTTCACCCAATTCCCCCACCTCCCATCATACCCCACCTCTGGCAACTACAAATCTCATCTCTGTTTCTATGAGTTTGGTTTTTTTAGATTCCACATATAAGTGAAATCATACAGTATTTGTCTTTGTCAGACTTATTTAACTTAGCATAATGCCCTCAAGGTCCATCCATGTTGTCGCAAACGGCAGGATTTCCAACCTTTCTATGGGTGAATAGTATTTCATTGTGTATGTACACCACATTTTCTTTATCCATTCATCCGTCGATGGACACTTAGGTTGTTTCCATGTCTTAGCTATTGTAAATAATGTTGCAGTGAATGTGGGAGTGCAGATATCTCTTCGGGATGGTGATTTTGTTTCCTTCAGATAAACACCCAGACGTGGGATTGCTGGATCATATGATAGTTCTATTTTTAACTTTTTGAGGAACCTCCATACTGTTTTCCATAGTGACTGTACCAATTTACATTCTAACCCACAGTGCACAAAGAGTCCCTTTTCTCCATACCTTCACCAGCATTTTTTATCTCTTATCTTTTTGATGATAGCCATCTTAATTGGTGTGAGGTGATATCTCATTATGGTTTTAATTTGCAGGGAAATGTCTCAACTAATATCTTTCATTATTGGAAGCAGCGTCACGCAAGGCCAGATTGTTTTGCAATATTCAAAATATTTTTCAATGAATTTATCTGGTTAAGTCCATGTTGCTTTGGAAGGCAGCCAAAATGTCTTAATGTCTGATTTTGTAAGTCCCAAAGGATTTCATTACAAAGGAAGATCTTGGAAATTAATCTTCCTGTTTATGATGTCTATGAAAACTGCCCTACCCCTATTTCTGAAAACAGACCAGGGCTCTGATGCTTGTTGTGCCCCCAAACGCTACTTGTTGATCACTGGCTTCCTTGAATGATGATTTTCTGAGGGGGACAGGATAAAGTCATGTGTTTTCTAAAGGGAACATGCGGGAACGAGGGCAAACATCGCCTGCTCCCACCCTCCCAGGATCCTGGTTCAGAGGCTAAAGGAAGTCTCTCTCCCAAGTGACAGCACCCCCACCACAGTTCTAGGACTAGCAGAGGGCATCCTTGTAAATGATGGTCCTGAAACCTTCTTCTGTCATTCTCCCTGCCCTGCCCCAAGTGTGGGAAATCCCCCATGACCTGGCACCAAAGCTGCATCTCGATGATGGGAAACAGCCAGAGAGCAGAAAGGGCCTGCAAAATGTGGAGTACGTGAGGTTTGTCTCTGCTGTCCCTTCCTCCCCCTTCTGCAAAGTTCTGTCCAGGAGGGATATTCAAAATATGTAACAACCTGCAAGGCCTCCACCTCTACTGAGCCAAACATTATCCCTTAAGTGGCTGGATATGGGGCAGGGATGGGAGACAGTCCACAAAGTCCTAGAGGGCGGCAGAGGAAGGGGTAGAAGAGCAGGCACTCAGGTCTCTATTTACTAATCATAAAGAGCATTTTAAATGTAAGAACCAGTATGACCAGAACAGGCATAGCGGTTACTATCAGGCCTGCCCTCTGCCTCAGCATCCTCTCGCTACCTGCTGGCCCTGTCTGGAAGAGAAACCTGAAGGATCAGAGTGACTGGTGCTACCCACTGCTTTTTGCCTTTCCTAAGGGATGCCACTCCATCTGGGCTCTTATCTTCCAGCTACATGGAACCTGGATTAATTTATTGCCCAGAGCAGAGTATAGTCTATCAGTAATGACTGATGGAGAGAGAGAGAATTGGCCAGATCCTGGATCAAAACCTTTTAGTGTTTCCCAACATGGCCCTCGGTATCCCCAGGTAAACCTTTGGCTTCTAAAGGTTTAGAATTAAATGGCTTCCACATTTATTCATTGGCACAGAAACACCCACACTGAAAGGGAGATACGCACCGGACTATGCACCCTGAGCTTATTTGCATTTTCAAAACGGGAATTCAAGGGGTCAGTATTTTACCAGAAAAATACAGCCCTGTCAGTTCCACAAGAGGCATTACTAGAAGCCTTTAAGTCCTGCTGTGGCCGCTCCATCTACTCATAAGTTTGGTCCAATATTATTGATATCGCTAAATTGAACTTCAAAAAGAGGGAGACTAGAAGATCTGAATGAGAAGAGGATGGTGAAAAAAAGAGTTGAAATGTATTAGAAGAGTAAATGTTATGAATGGCTTGAATGTGTAGAGAAAAGAAGTCAACAATGAATCAGTGACATTAGGGCACTAAGCCGTTCTAGAAAGTGCAGGCAACCCTGAGAGTCTACTAGCATCCCGGCCAAGAGGCAGTGCCCTGATGTGAGCCTGC